TTTTGTATCTCTCTTTAGCAACCGCAGCGTCAATGGCAACACCAGCGTCAACAGCAACAGCAGCGTCAACACTACCAACAAGGAAGTTGGCGTAAAGGACGCCGATGGCAAGGAGGAAACAACCGGCAATATGACGAAAACAGCTGATTGCGATGTGAAAACCGCCGTCGACAAGACGAAAACCGCCGGCGGCATGATGAAAACCTCCGACGGCAGGAGGAGAACCGCCGTCGGCATGAGGAAAACCTCCGTCGGCAGGAGGAGAGCCGAAGTGTGCTGACGCCGACAGTAGAAAACGGTGCTGCAGCAATAAATAATAGAAATGTAAGTTAAATCATATTTATTAAAATTTTTAAATAAATTAATAAAGTTTTTTTTTATATTTTCAGAGTAACCAAATAAATGAAAATGAAATGCGAATCAGATTAATTGAACTTGAGAAGGAAAATCGGGAACTGAAAAAAAAATTAAATAATGCAGTTCTTTTTCTATTTATTATAATGGTTTTTTTTTCTAATTATTATGTTTTTTTCTTATTTATATAATGTGTTTTTGTTATTTTTATAATGCTTTTTATTATTATTATAATGTGTTTTCTAGTTATTATAATGTTTTTTTTTCTATTTTTTTAATGTTCTTTTTTTTTTAATTATTATTACAATCTTTTGTCTTATTATCATAATATTTTTTTCTTATTTTTATTTTTTGTTATTTTTATAATGCTTTTTATTATTATTATAATGTGTTTTCTAGTTATTATAATGTTTTTTCTTCTATTTTTATAATGTTTTTCTTTTTTTTTTAATTATTATTACAATCTTTTGTCTTATTATCATAATATTTTTTTCTTTATATAAATTATAATAAAATAATTTTGAACAAAATTAAATTATGGAATTTGTTATTTTATTATTTTAAGATATTAATATTCAGGTATTATTATATTCCTAATATAGTAATAACCAAATATGTATGTACACTAGGGTGCCATTAATTTTTGAAAGTCGGAAAATTGCCCGCGGCACCCCCCAGATCGGTTCATTTTACTAAAAAAATAATCTGTGTGAAATTTTAGTTCAATTGGATAAGTGGAAATGGTGCCCCAAGAGCCTCAAAGATTGGAAAATAACGATTTTTCCATAAAATTCATCTTTGATTGCTTATATCTCCGACATATTTAATTTTACATAAAAACTGTCTTCCTAAAAGTTATAGATCTACTAAAAATAAACAATTCACTCATACAAAGTTTTTCTGTATTTCTAATAGTAACAGAGTTCAATGCATTTGTGAATATGCTGCAAAAGTTGTTTTTGTTAATATCTTTATTGTTTGCTACTCGATTTTGATAATTCTTACATCAATTCATATTAGAAAAATATAAACAATTTAAAAAATACCGTGCAACATTGTACTACTTTTTATTTTTGTTTCTAATATATATTGACAAATGTTCGATATGGCGGTATATGTTAGCAGTTTACAGACGTAAATCTTTCTTTTTTATATGCAATATATTTTTGGTAATTTTAGAAAATCTGTCTACTCATTTTTAAAGATTTATATACGAAAATATTCTAGAATATTTCTATTTTTTAAAAAAATACCGTGCAACAGTGTACCATTCCGTAAAATTTATAATTATTTCAATTTTCATAGTGTCCCCTAACAGACAATACAGCAGCCAACAAATGCCTGTAACAGAGTTCAATGCATTTGTGAATATGCTGCAAAAGTTGTTTTTGTTAATATCTTTATTGTTTGCTACTCGATTTTGATAATTCTTACATCAATTCATATTAGAAAAATATAAACAATTTAAAAAAATACCGTGCAACATTGTACTACTTTTTATTTTTGTTTCTAATATATATAGAAAAATGTTCGATATGGCGGTATATGTTAGCAGTTTACAGACGAAAATCTTTCTTTTTTATTTATATGCAATATATTTTTGAATTTAATTTAAATATTGAATTTAAAATATTATTATTATATAAATTAAATTTTATTATCATTCCCTTACCACAGAATACAACCGCCTATAGATACTTTTAACAGAGTTCTTTAATAAACTTTACAATGGTGGTGAATTTTTAGCCTTGTACAGGTTTTCACCTTAATATGTTATTAGAATGGTGTTAGTTAACATACATTTTTTTCGTAAAAAATCCACTTTTTTAAACATATATAATTAAAAAACGTTCTACTCGATTTTTGTGAAATTAGTTTTGTTTGAAAGAGTGATCAATTTAGTTTTAGGAACTTTAAGCGTGCAGGTTGTACCTCCTTCGAAATTTAAATAAAATGCACTTATATCGGAACATGTGCAAAATTTATACTTATTTTAATAATATTTTGATGTTTTAGTTGAGATATTGAAATGATGCTTATTTATCCGGTTTTGTGAAAGTTTTTTTTATACTTTTGCGTTTTACATTTTTTAAAAAGCTTGAAATTTGACGAGTTTGAAAATTTGACTTTGACATCAAATTTCTCAAAATTGGTCTACTCGATTTTTATGATTTTTTTTTGCTATTGATAGCCTGCATAATTCTCTATTAGATGTATTTCCGTGCAACATTGTACCTGTTCTAGATTTTTCTAAAAATAAATTTTTTCAAAAAAAGTCGATTTTGGTCAATTTTTATTTTTCCTATAATTTGAAAAATACGCATCGTATCTCAAATTGGTAAATGCCAATCGAAAGATCTTTCAAAACTCTATAAGAATAATGCCTTTTGTTTTAGTTTAATTATTTATATTAACGAAAATATCATTTTTTAAAAATTTTTTGAAAATACAGCCCTGCATTTTCCAGCAACGTTGCTAACTTGGCGCTGGTAATTTTATGTGCGATGTATAATATAACTATTATTACAACTATCGTAATTACTATTACCTGTTCATGTCCTGTGTTGACAGCAACTGTTTGTAGATTATTGGTTGTTGTCTTCTGTTCCGTTTGTGGTATGTCCTGTGAAAGCAAGCCCATTACTCTTCAGTGTTCTTCAGTATTTTTCCAATTGTTAGATTTTTATTTTTATTTCTTTCCTTTTTTGTTTGTTTATGTTTTGTTTAACAATCTCTTTTGTGTTTTAAACTTAGTTTTTGCTACAATGTGTTTTTTGTTTGTTTTACAAAATATTTTATTTTTTTGTTTTTATGCTTTTATGTATAAATTTCACATATTTTTGCTATAAGTTTTAAATTTAAAAACATTAAAGTACAAATTTTAATTTTAAGAACTTTAATTTCAATTTTCTTTGGATTTTTCTTTTATTTTTGTATATTATTTCACATTTATTTGCTCATATTTATTATTTGTAGTGTTTATATTCAATTTTGTCTATCATTGTTTTTGTTTTTATTGAGGATATAACACTTTTAAATTTTTGTAAAAATAGTTTACTTTTTATTTTTACTTTTCATTTCTGATAGCACATTGATTCTAGAGCCGAATGCGGTTCTTTTTATTAAATTAAAGTTTTTTTTCTAAAGTTTTTAAATATATTATTAAGTTAATATTTCCGTTTGCCGTTTGGCAAATTTGCAGGATCGCCATGTGGGGTTTTAAATATCGTCTTTAAAAGAAAACACTTAATTTGTTTTTTTATTATATGTAAACTTTATTTTTATTTATTTGCACATCATTTTTACTTTTATTATTATAAAGATCTCAGCTAGATCACGTACTATTATCGACTCTCAACTATGCACTATCCACTAAAACTCTCAAATAAAGACTGATTAAAGACTAACTACAATTATATTTTTCATACCGATAACAGTTCGGTTTTACAATATTCTATTTTACATTTTACTATTTACTTAAATTCTATTGGTTAATATATTTTTTAGTTTCTATATACTTACGTCATTGGTCAATAATATCATTTTTTAATAGTTGACACACATATGGTGACCAACTGTAAAAGAGGGCAAATCATATTGCATGCACAATTGCTTGCAATATGATCTGCACAACACATGACACATTTTAATGTGTTCTAGATTCCGAAATCCAAATTGCCAAGCACATGCTAAAGTAATTATACTTCGCTATGCACTAAAACGTTTGTCATAAAGAAATAACAAAACAAAGGAGTCGAATCACCAACTCATAAATTATTGTGCTATACAATTTGGGTTTCTGGGTTATAAATATTGATTTGAAGTGTTTTGGGTTAACGTGTCAGATCATCATATCGCACACATTGAATTGCGTGTGGTCATGGTCTGATATGACACTACATTTCTGTCAACATTCAATTACACATCCTTACAGACGCATCAGAAAAGGCATATGGTGCTGCAGCGTATTTGCGATCAACACTTCAGAATGGTCAAATTATTGTACGACTATTGTGCGCCAAATCTCGGGTTACACCTCTGAAAAAGTCGACATTACCTCGTCTCGAACTCTGTGCAGCTGTTGTTGGTGCGGAGCTAGCTACAAGCATAAAGAACGGCCTACAAATAAGAAATTACCAGACGTTCTTTTGGTGTGATTCACAAATAGTGATATCATGGATCAACTCTCCATCATCAAAGTTTCACACTTTCGTTGCAAGCAGAGTAAGCAATATTCATCAATTAACGACCACAAGACAGTGGCGACATGTCAATTCGGAACACAATCCAGCTGACATTTTATCAAGAGGTCTTTCACTTCATAAACTACAGTCATCAAGAATGTGATTTTATGGACCCATGTTCTTACATGGTCGGAAAGAATTGTGGCCATCAAAACCATCATCATTGTTAAAATCCGAAACCTTCCCTGGTCAGGTCATCATCAAAGGTATTCAGAATGCAGAATTTAGAAATGAAATCAAAATTATGAAATCAGATGGAAGAATAAATAAGTCCAGTGCATTGGCAGCACTGATAATAAAGGCAATATAAGAGTTGGTGGACGTTTGGATGCAGCGTCAATATCATATGATGCAAAACATCCTATGTTATTACCCTATAATGACCCCATTGTCAGAATAATAATGGAACAAGTGCATAAGAAATACATGCACTGTGGTCCACAGTCTCTCCTAGCTAATATCCGTGAACGATACTGGCCAATTAAAGGCAAATTGATGGCAAGATCAGTAGTACAACATTGTGTACGTTGTACTAAAGCCATACCACGGTTTTATGAACAACTTATGGGTAATTTGCCAGCGACAAGAGTACAACCTAGGCGACCATTTCTCACCACTGAAGTGGACTTTTGCGGACCTTTTTGGATACATTACAGAATCCGAGGCAAGAGACCACAGAAGGCATATATTGCTGTGTACTGTTGTTTTACAACTAAGGCAGTTCATCTCGAAGTAGTTAGCGATTTAACCACAGATGCATTCATCGGATCACTGAAACGTTTTATTGCTCGAAGAGGACACTGTAGAAATTTATTTTGTGGCAATGCCACAAACTTCGTGGGAGCAAACAATCAACTAATTGAACTTGCAGACTCAATTCAAGCAAGTAAGGCACAAGAAAAGATAATTAACGAATGTAATGAAATAACATTTAAATGAATAATATTTAAATAACATTTAAATTTATACCTCCTCGTGCACCACACTTCGGTGGACTGTGGGAAGCAGCAGTCAAATCTGCAAAACACTTATTGATACGAAGTACTAAGACCACTTCACTAACATATGAGGCTCTAGAGACTGTAGTATTAGAAGTTGAAGCAATACTGAACTCTAGTCCATTGACACCTATGTCAAATAATCCTAATGACTTGTCAGCGTTAACATCTGGTAATTTCTTAATCGGAGAACTACCCACAGCAATGGCAGATGCAAAGGTCCAATCGGGAAATATAAATCTGGTGACAAGATGGAAATAAGTGTCTCGTCTCAAATTGTAATTTTGGGAACGTTGGAAGACCGAATACCTCACTGAGTTACAATGTCGACACAAATGGAAATTAGCTACTTCAAATATAAAAGAAGGTACCCTTGTAATTATCAAGGAAGACAATGTTCCTACAATAAAATGGCCGCTTGGACGTATTTCAAAGGTATATAATGGAGATCTCCTGTTTCTGATGAACTTTCAAAAAGCTGTACAAAGGCGAATTCAAAAATATTACACTAAGGCACAGATCAGGACGAGCCACCTAAAAAGTATTCACGGCCAATGTCTAGTTCATTACTGGTTACAATGTTATTATCTCTACTATACCTGCCATTGGTATTAGGGAATTCAGTGAATGTAATACGCTTCGACAATAATTTAGGAATATATTTCGAATCCGTTGGCTCAGTGAAGGTAGCAACGACAGAATGGAAAATGATTGTTTACTATGATTTTCATCCATATTAGACCGAAATGAACTCCTTCTACAACGAAACTAAAACCATCAACCGTTTATGTTCAGAATGGCATATATGTACAATGTACATTGTACATACATCATGTACTTCTCTCTATACTCATTTTAAACATGTAAAAGATGAGTTGTTGCAAGACCATTATTCGATGAAAGCCGAAGCAAGCGAGCTGCAATTGATATAGTAGGAAATATTGCGCACTACGCTGAGAGCGTGTCTGACACAATAAATCAACATTCAATAAGCGAGAATTCAACACGAAGAAATGATATGCAGACTGCAGAATTACGCCAACAAAATCTGAACTTCACTGTGACCACAACCTAGGACAAGTTGAGTTGGAACTCAACGGTGGGGAGTATGTTTATATTTATTTTAATATAATTTAATAATTGTTTGTATATATATTTAATTACATGTGTTTACATTTATTTGGGCCAACATTGCGTCCAGTCATTGACCAACGAAAAGTGCAATTCTGCATTATCAGCTTTTCTTGCTGCTCAGTGCACTGAAGAAAGTGTGTCGTATTTTGGCTTATAATTATGTCAGCACAGTGTAAGCAAATTTATTGTTTTGTGAATTATGCATAAATAGTTATTGTTAATTAATGCATAATTCAATATTTTTTATTTAAAATACTTTGTATAAATAGAATTAAGAATTTAAATAAAGTTTAGAAGTAAAGAAAAATCAATAAGAATCAATTCTTATTTTCTCGCATTGATTAGTTTGGGTTTCAAGTGCTCAAATTAATCAACACACATAAAATACAAGTAGTTTGGGTTACAAGTGCTCAAGCTACTTCACACACAAAATAGGCTACCAAGCTAATACAGATTAAGGATCTGGATTAGCATCAAGTAGCGTACAACCTATATATATAAAAAACTATAGAATACCACAGGTACAAATAGAAGAAATGAATAAACAAGTAAAAAAATTAATAGAAGGTGATAAAGTAGAGACATCCGTTATCCCATACAATGCACTAATTTTAATAGTACTGTGGCGTTCATGTGGCATTATTAAGAAAGAGAAGTTTACTTTGAAAAATAGAAATTGACAATCAAATTTTCAGGCATATACATTTTGATTTAGGAAATTTTAGATTTTTGAACAATTTTAGATTTTTGATTTTTGAGCAAAAAAATAATTGTTAGTAATAAAAAAAACTCTAAATAAATATTTAAAAACTCATATTAAGAGTCAACATTACTACAGTACCAAAGAAAAGCAATAATAGTCAAGAGAAATGGAGACTAGTAGATGACTATAGGTAATTAAATAAAAAAGTTATAAACGACAAATTTACACTAACTTGTTTAGAAAACATTCTAGATAGATTAGATAAAGCGAAATATTTTTCTACTTTAGACACGACTAGTTCTTTCCATCAAATACCACTTAACCATGAATCAAAACCATTAACAGCTTGCTCTACTGATAAAGGTCACTACCAATTGAGAAGATTACCTTTTGAACTAAAAATTTCAACCAATACTTTTCAAAAAATGCTAACATTAGCATTAGCTGGTTTAGACACATCCGCATTATTATACGTTGATGATATAATTATTTTTGGTTCAAATTTAAAGAACATAATCAAAATTTGATGAAAGTGTTCAGAAGATCACAACAACACAGTCTAAAGTTAAATCCCGAAAAATGTAATTTCCTACAACCAGAAGTTGTATACAATGGAGTCCGCATAGATCCAAGCAAGCATGAAGTAATTAGGAACTATCCAAAACCCAAAATTGCAGACGAAGTAAAACGATTTGTTGTCATGTGCAATTATTATCGAAGGTTTATACAAAATTTTGCTGAAATAGCTAGACCTCTCAATAACTTACTAAAGAAGAATCAAATACTCTGCTGGTCGGAAGATTGTGATAAATCTTTTGAAAGTTTGAGAACAAAGTTAATTTCACCACCTATCTTAAGTTACACAGATTTCTGAAAAACATTTATATTAACGACAGATGCCTCTAATTATGCATTAGGAGCAGTTTTGTCATAAGGAGAAACAGGAAATGATAAGCCAATAGCTTATGCTAGTAAAAGCATGAAATAAACAAGCCTGTAATAGAGAAAGAAATTCTCGCAATACACTGGGGAATCAATTATTTCAGACCATACTGATATGACCATAGGCCACTAGTTAGTGTTTTTACTCACAAGAATCCATCCTCAAAACTAACAAGAAGTAGGATAGATTTAATGTATTGCAACTTTAATATCATATTCAAACAAGGGAAAATGAATACGAACGCAGATGCACTATCTAGGATTCAATTAGATTCAAAATAGCTAATTGAGATGATACCTAAAAACATAATTGTATTAACCAGAACAATGAGCAAAAATATTCAAGCACAAGAAGAAGAAAACCAATAGCAAACCTTGAATGGTAACACGGAAATTGATCACCTCCACATGTGGAATGCGACATCAATATCAGATGTAAGATTTATAAAGAAACTTGAATTTAAAAAGATAAACCATTCTTCAGATGGAAATGAAGAAAAAGCACTTGAACATAAGAATAAAAAGTTCAATAGAAACAGTGCAAAATATATTAAAGGTGGGAAAACACTTGAACATAAAAATAAAAAGTTCAATGAAAATAGTGCAATAAATATTATAGCAGCAAATAAGATAGTTGTCGAATTTAACGAGAAATTATTATCGGAGATAAAATTGATTCTGAAGAAGTTATTATTCAAGATGAACAACTTAAAAATTACAAAGCTAGCGCTGGCGGAAAATGATGAAATATTAAATAAAATAAACTTTCAAGAACTGAAAGAAATAAGCTGCAGAAAGAATTAAAATTAAAAGGAAGTCTAGACATTATTGTATACACACCACCAAAAAGAATAAAGAATACTGATGAAATGCTCAGATTAATAAAAGAATATCACGAATCTCTACATGGAGGACATTGTAGAATTAAGAGATGCATAAATAAATTAAAACAAAAACATGAACAAAATGGTAAAAAATTTTGTCAACAACTGTGACACATGTGCAAGAGCTGAATTAATTAGGCACACAAAAGAAACATACCAAATTACCAAAACAAATTGTAAATTGTAAATTGTTAAAGATAGAAAAAGTAACATCAACACCATTTCACCATGAGACATTAGGAACAATTGAAAGAAATCACGGAGTTTTGAATGACTACTTCATGACCATGAAAGCAATAAACAATTGGGACGATTTACTTCCTTACTACGTGTACAGTTACAACTCCACATACAACAACAGAATACACTCCATTTGAATTAGTATATGGTAAATTATGTGCATTACCATGTGAAATTATTAAAAATAAACAAACAATATATGACATTGAAAATTATGCTAATTAATTAAAAGTAAAATTGAAATTTGCTCAAAATAAAGCAAAAGAAAAATTGATAAACTGCAAATACTTTGCAAGAAAAACAAAAAAATGTTAACAAAGCCAATTTTAAAATGAATGATTTTGTATTTGTTAAAAAAGGCAACAGAAAGAAATTAGAAAACCCATACAAAGGCCCATATAAAATTGTATCACAACAAGGTACAAACAGTACAATATTAATGAATGAAAAACTTGTTGAACTGCACAATAACAATTTAATAAAATGCAGAACTAAGCAAAAATAATACTTATAAAGAAATAAAAATATGTTAAAAAATTATACCACTATATAAGAATATATTATTATTAATCATGTTATAATCATTATATACAAAATAAAAATTATATATATTTTATTATACTATTTGGATAGATATGTTATTATAGAAATTGTAAAATTTAAAGATAAATATTCCACTTAAGACATCGCATATATATGTATAAATAAAATAAATTATAATGTAAATTAATTTTAATTTGTAGAAATTACAACTTATTTACACTTTTCTAAAGGGGTAGTGTGTTGTGCCCATGACCTACGTCAATGCTTAATATGACAAGTCATTGCATTGTAGACAAAACAAATGTGACATAATTTATTAAATGCACTTTTGTCGAACTGACGCTTTGACTTTGATCTGTGGCAGCACCAAAAAATATAATAAAAAGAACTGTCAACAAGGCACAAAGGAGACAACAATATCCGCAGTTCCCGCCAGTAGTAGTTTGGACAAAGACAAAGCAGCACGTGAATAAAACGAAAAAACACAAATTTTAA